TTTGTGACATTTAATAATCATGTAAAATTTGTTTGCACATGAGGTACCCTTCCAATATTATCATCAATCAGACTGAACAAAACAATTGTACTTCTTATTAAAAATCGTCAATTATCGATATGGATAATAAGGTAGGTTAAGTGTCTAAAAGAGTTTTACTGTAAATTTGCTAGCTTCTGCTAGAGAATAATCAAACCAATAAATTGCTGAGTGAGTCATAAATCATATTTTAAATCAGTCAAATCAATTGATCAATCAATCGAATCTATATTTTCCAAAATGATATTGAAGAATAATATTAATAATAATTAACCAAACCGAGGCTATTGTTGATCAACAGAGGCATGATGTCTGGAAAGAGAAAATGCGGGGAAAATGTGCAAGAACAAGAAAGAAAGAAACAAAAAAGTTCGGGAAGACCAGACATTCTGATCACTGTAGATACTCCCGAGATGTTTTATAACTCCAAGAGTTTGGCGTAGAAATTTGGGGAGGTCAAAACTTGGAAAAGTTTGCAAGATGATAGCCCGGTGTATAGTGTGAAATATTCCAACAGAGCACCAAAGATCTGTGAAATGCTGAAAACCATGGACAGCGTGTTTGATAAGGTCATGACTACCATGCAATGGGACAAAAATAGGTGGAAATTCACGAAATGCGATTGGCCACACGAATGCCAGAGGCTTCTGATAGAAGGTTTCGATGAAGGATTTTCGAACGGCCCAGGAAGGTACTGCCTATATTCCCTGCTGAAATCCCTGGTGGAGGAGTCCCACGTCATATACAATGTCGGCGGTGGCAGTACCAAAAACAAAAAAATTCTACAACTCTGATTCAAGCTCCTGGACAGAATCATCCTCGCCAGAGAAATCCTCACCAGAGAAATCCTTGTCGAGCTCTGATTGCACTACTACTAGTACTAATGGCTTTGACCATTCTCACACACCTGTAATGGATTGTATGGTCTGGGGGCCGGAGACCTACCTTGTGGCAGAAGTGAAGACAGGGCTCTTACGTCATGAAGATCGTGAGCAGCACCGACATGAGCTTTTGTCTCAGCTATCACTAGGTTCACCTCCCTGCAGATTGGTTGGAGTTTTGATGCTCAACTGTTTATAGGTGCGAAGGACCCAAACCAAATTAACATCATAGAAGTGAGCAGTTACAAATTTACCGAGGGGAACCACAAGGAGAAGTTTTCCAACTTCTTGAAAGACATGGTAAAGCTGCTCAAAGCATTTAAAATGTTTTTTGAAAAACTACCAAACATTGACTCTGACGTCAGAATTTTTTATTCATACCATTCGTTCATGACAATTCATACATATATCCTCACAAGAGCAGATGTATTTGAGGTTGCTTGAGGCAATGTCTAACAGTCCGGGAAAATATTTTTTATTTACATGAACCTGTAAATATTTCAAAATGGAATAAGGTAGTATAAGGTAGTATTCCAATGCTCATGTGAAAAGGAATACCTTGTTGCAAACAGCGGTTTGACACACATTAATCGGAATAATTGAGTGACTCAGAAGTGAAGTGATCCAAGTAAAACTTTTGAAATTTTAGAGTTATTCAGCCTAGAGATTTATGTTTTATGTTGTTATATACTTTACTGTACTGTAATTTAATAAACCAAATTAACGCATGGGAACTAAGATCCAAAAAAAATGAAAAAATAATAAAAAAAAAAATAATAATAATAATTCCAGATTCTTATATACCGTTTTATCACAACCTAGTTGGTCGTCTCAAAGCGGTTCACAAATTATTATCCGTGGTAAAAGGGCCTTTGCAACCAGCAAATATATTTCTCAACTCCCTGGGGAGCATACAGCCGGTGCTGCCATTTCGGCGCTCACAGCTAGCATTCTACAATTCTCACCCTGGACCTACAAACCAGTAGCCAAAAAAATAGCCATGTGTGAATTTCAGTAGCCAATTTTTTTAAACAGTGGCCATACTTTCTCGGCCTCCAACCGTTACAGATAGGCCCTCCGTTAAAATAATTTAATATTTGATATTTTTTGAAGTTCAATACCAATCGACATGATGTTAAATTATGGAGTACTCTATTAAATAACCTAAGAAAAAATGTTTGTTATACATCATGTTTATTATTCAATCTATAATGTGATATTGTATTTAATAATTTCAGATTATATGGCTGTAATTATAAGAGAATATGACTAAAATTAAGATGCTTAAAATTTCAAACATAACTTTTTGAATTCTTTTCAAAAGAGGGAAAAATCAGACTTCATCTCATTGTCTTGACACAGGAATTGTGAACAAAAAATATGTTGAAAAGTTTAAATTTTAAGATATTAGTCGCCTTTAATTGCGGGCTTAGTCTAATTCCGTGCCTTCAATCTAAAAGAAAAATCCAAATCAAAAGTTGCCTCAGTGATGCAATATATTATTAATTATACATGGTAGCCAATAAACAAGAGGCCCATAGCCTTAACGGTCACCTGAGTCTTACAGTATTTATTTTTGTTGTTGAAATATGTACCAATTTGAGTAAAAAATAGTTAAGTATAATGTTAACTTAACTTTGTCAGGACCATGAGCTGATCATTCCTAGACCGATTTTCAGTGAGATCGGCCTATAAGAACTTAGTAGCAAAATAGCGGCCATGGCAGCCAAATTGTATTTCTGATTGACCCGAAAAATAACAACACTTTGTCAGGACCATGATTCGATCATTCCTACAAAGTTTCAGTTCAATCGGCCTAGCAGAACTTGACTTTAAGTTTGAAATAGTTTTTCAAAATGGCGGCCACGGCGGCGATATTGGATTTCCGATTGACATGAAAAATAACAACACTTTGTCAGGACCATGAGTCGATCATTCCTACCAACTTTTAGTTCAATCGCCCCAAGCAGAACTTGACTTTAAGTTTGAAATAGTTTTTTTTCAAAATGGCGGCCGTGGCGGCCATATTTGATTTCTGATCGACCGGAAAAATAACAACACTTTGTCAGGACCATGGTCGATCATTCCTACAAGTTTCAGTTCAATCGGTCTAGCAGAACTTGACTTTAAGTTTGAAATAGGTTTTCAAAATGGCGGCCATGGTGGCCATATTGGATTTCTGATTGACCTGAAAAATAACAACACTTTGTCAGGACCATGAGTCGATCATTCCTACCATCTTTTAGTTCAATCGCCCCAAGCAGAACTTGACTTTAAGTTTGAAATAGTTTTTCAAAATGGCGGCCTCATTTACAGCTGAGTAGTCTGGAACAAGCGGAGTAATGTATCTTGATCAAAGATACAACACAGTGCTGTGCCGTGACTCGAACCCGTAACCCTTCGGTCACGAGCCCGGCGTCGTACCATTGGACCTCCGTGCCTCCTAATGTTTAACATGAGGCCAAATAAAAATATGTGTGTGTTGGCTGTTTCGGCTCCAAAAACAATAAGATTGGTAGGTGGGAAATTTTTTTTTTTTTTTTTATATTGATCTTTTTTTCTGATGAAGAAATCTCCTGATTACCTCCGTGAATTTGACAATTTTTTTAAGGATAATAAATCACTGACATTGAATAAACGTCAAGGTCATTCATTTGAACTAACTAGCACTTGATCCGAGCATGCTATAGGCCAAATATCATCAGCATAGGACTCTTGGTTCTTGAGAAGAAGATGTTTTAAGTAAAACGTTGATGCTGGACGGATGACGGAAACACGGACGCCGCACCACGGCATGAGCTCACTCGGCACTTCGGGCCAGGCGAGCTATAAATCCGTGCACTCCTAGTTTATTTGTTGAGCAGGCCCAAACGACACATTGAAGTAAACTTTAATTTGATCCACCTAAATGTTTATGGAATAACCAACGTAATTTACAGTAGTGCTGCCACCATTTTTACATTACTGAAGTATCCCTACTGCTAGAGAATATGTTTTAGTAATCCAAATTCCACTGATGGTCACATGTTTTACATTTTCTTTTGTATTAATGATGCTTTCTGTTTCTCAATTTCCACTGCCATCAGTTCAAATTAACTGAACAACAAAATAAGTAGATTTATATTTTCACTTTATTTACAACACAAGTTTTTTAATCCGTCATAAAATATTTACAAGTCTTCACAATTGTGAACTCTATCTCTCCACTTCAAACTTATCTCAAACTATAAACTAACTTATCTCCTCTAAATCTCTAGACCTCTCATCGACCGAGTCTCCCTAACTCAACCTCCTTCCGCAAGACTCCTTAACTCAACTCCTGCTAAATTTGACTCCAGCAGTCAGCATCAGCTGGAGGCACAAACACTAACATCACAGACTTGACTCTCCCCACCTAGACTACAGACGGTCACACTAAACTACAGACGGTCACACTAATCTACAGATCCCAACCTAAATCAACACACACAATTATCTACGGCTACTTAGCTACTATCGTCAAGTAAAACTCTAACACTGACCACGAGCCCAGGCTAATAAAATGCAAAGCAAATTATATGTATACTTTGAACATTCAAACGGCTAATAAATGCATAACAGTGACTGTCGAAACCAATCCAATAAATTAGAGTCGGCTTGAAAAAATAGGGTCGGTCGGCAAACGGGAATCATAGCTATATTTTGATTTGGCCTAACTTGGGAACGGCTTAAACGCCAAAAGAGAAGCTCATGTGGAGCTTGAATTAATATTTATTACTTTAATTGGGGTATTTACAGCTCCAGATTCAAACAAAAGTTATCTACAATTTTTAAATACAAATTAAATTATTTAGAATTGGATGCGTACCGTTGTGCGTGTGATAAAACTCAACTAGATGGATATTTTCTGATGAACAAAAGTACCCAGTCTTTAAACGGAAGTGCTGCCAATTTATTCCTTTTATAGAGGTATGGCATTCTGAGCTAATAAAAATTGCTGTTACACCTCAATACAACAGCATAATACCTCTATTCGACATGAAAAGCACTGGTAACTTAGTATATAGAATAAATGTGTATTGTATTGTTTATTTAATTTACCTCAGTGATATGTCATGGTGCGTGTCCATCATTGTTGATATCACTCCGTATGCCATGCCACAATTTGCATAAAACAATAACAGCTCCCTGACTGCGCACAAAAATGAAGAGATGTTTTGATATTATCAAAAATGAACCAAAAGAATGATTATTGTATATATTACATCAAATCACATATTTTAAAGACATACAAATATATTGATACTAAATATGTATATCATTTATGTAGTAATATATTGATTTAAAGTGGATAGATATCACATACCTCCCAAGTTATTATCTGCTGGAAAAGGGGACGTCATGCCTTCATTTGGTCTGCATAAAACGCGAATAACATACATTTTCAATGTATTCCATGCATTGAGCTTTGGAAGGAGTATGGAATCCAGTCAGGCGCAACCGATTATTCTTCATCCATCGAAACAAAACAAATAACACTACACGAGTTCAATATAATAACTAAAATTTACTTATTTGGTACTCCTTATTCCTGCTAGTTCATTAGAGTTACATAATCTCAAATGAAGGAATTATTCAACTGCAATGAAGTTCGTTAAAATACCTGTGTGAAATAGGGTGCTGTAGCACTACCGTACATTCCTGTACATTCCTAACACGTAAGCGTTGGTTTCATATCCTATTACTGCAATAACCTCTCGAATGATGAACATTCCAAACGCTGGCGAGGTCAATAGGCCAATGCCCGTTGAAAAGTGTACCATGGCCGCTTTCGGCTGTAAAATGGGACAGAAACGAACAATAAAAGTGTAACGCAAAAGTGTACCACAAAAGTGTAACGCGGTACACAAACGAAGTATAAATGCTTTGTTTGTGTACCACACGAAAGTGTACCATGGTACAGAAACGAAGTATAAATGCTTCGTTTGTGTACCACACGAGGGTGTACCATGGTACAGAAACGAAGTATAAATGCTTCAAATGTGCCTGGCCGCCTTCGGCCATCGTACTATACAGCTTCCTCAACCTGATACTATACAGAGTCGTTCTCAGTATGTATGCATTATTACATCTCATATATATTATGTTATAACGCTGTATCCGATTTGGAATATGTAGGTCTCTCATATCCGTATGTGCACGATTTAACATATGTGTGTGGAGGATAGGGATGTTCCACCCAAGCGTTTTACCCAATTTTGTCTCTATCCTGCATACTCGCACATTGAAAGAATTTATTGTTCTATCATATCATAGAGATATATCTTACAGTTTAAGAAATAGTATTACCGAAGACGCCATTTTGTTTATAACATCAACTTTCAAGCTATTGGCCACGCGAAAAAAAATACACCGGGCCACCACTGGATGAATTTGTGCATAAACTACAAAAAGGAGCAATTTTACAGGATTCTTTTAAAGATCTGAAGCGGGGATGAATTTGCAAACGTTTCAACAGAAACGTTACTAGGTGTCTGACCAGTCTGACGTCAATTCAAATAATCATTTTATACTACCATGATTTGCACCCCAAAACTAAGAGCACTTCATCGAGGAGCAAACTGGGGAAGCGCTGAAGCATGCTCCGAACAAACCAGTAGGGTCAAAGTTCAAGGTAAAAATCATTTAATAGTTGACACAGACATGACATATATATAACATTTTGGCAGATTTTGCTAGATAGTACGAATCATTTGATGTTTATTGATTCACTAGTTCACTATTGAAAAATGATATTTATGATAACTACTGTATAATTTCCATTAGATTATTAAATATATATAATTTAAAATATTATTTTTTTCTATTTGTAGAAGACGCCAGGGAAAGCAGTGAGCCCATTACCAGACATGGAATTCTCTTCCGATTCCAATTAAAGTTGTAATAAATGAGGGAAAAAAAGTGAAATGTGGTTTAACGTTCTATTTATTTTCGCGTTCCATTTAGGGGTTCAAATAACGTTGTCACAACGTTGCTATAAGGTATATCACAACGTTATTCACAACGTTATCACAACGTTATCACAACGTTTCTGGAAGTCCACAAAATAACGTTGTCACAACGTTGCTGTAAGATATATCACAACGTTGTCGCAACGTTACTATAAGGTGTATAACAACGTTATTCACAACGTTTCTGGGACTCCACAAAATAACGTTGTCACAACGTCCCTGTACAACGTTTTTGCAACCAAAACACAACGTTGTTAAAACGTTTTATTGTTAGCTGGGCGAACGCTGCGGTATGGCATAAGCTAACCTGGTCCGAAAGGACCAGGTGAGCTAAAAATGAGCTTTATTTTCATTCTTTAACTATTGAAATTGCCAGCGGAACACGGGAGATTGCTCCTAAGGCCTTCTATAATTCCAAATTTTCCTGGGGGAGGCCACCCATCAATGGGAGGGGTCTCAATGGGAGGGGGAAGAACCCTCCCATACCCTCCCCCTCTCGCACTTCGCGCTCGGGTGCTGCCTGCGGCAACACATTGTCGCGCTTCGCGCTAACATTCTGCCTACATACCATATTCAACCCAGCTACGCCCCAGATAGCTGTTAAGTTTGCTTTCACAACATAGATCACAATCAAATAACTGATCCCTTGCATTTTCATTATTTCAATATCCAAAACAAAGCACTTAACTTAAATTTATTTTGATATTTAGTGAACTTTTCATATACCGCACACCAACTTCAAGCTTTTGTATAAAACGCTTCACACATTCATGTTTTATAGATACTATTTAATAAACTTGTATCACACTACTACCTCTGGTCACTTTTTCTTCTAGCCTGTCCAGGTAAGAAGGACAGCAACTTGTTTTTCAATTTAAAACCTACTGAGTACCATACAGGTTTATCAAAGGAGTACAATAAACAAAATTGCAAGAAGAACTACATATAAATCTTTTTTTTTTTATCTGAGGCAGCGGCATAAAATGTCCGCTGTGTTTGATATATCCCGAGCCATCTGTTTTGCTTCAATCCTCGATAAAGAATTCAAGCGATTATTATTGTCATTGACATAAACACATGGTTTGGCGCGAAAAAAATTCTAACGTTTTTTTTTCGTTGACAAAATGACTAATTTGGTCAAATTTTCCTTTTACTAATGTTTTATTGGCATTGACAAGAAACATAGTTTGGTCATGTTTCTGTTATGTCGGCCATCGACTTACCAGACATCTAGGCCTACCTGTCAAAATGTCCAAAGTCTGGTGTAGGGGCCAGATGAAACTCTGCCTATGCTACCAGTTGAATGGTCCGAAAGAAGATTGAGTGGTAATGTACAACTTAAATCATGGACCATGAAATTTATGTTCTTAAATTTGAAACACTTTCTTTTTCGTAACAAAATATTGATATGAAACAGTTTAGGATCCATGATTGGGTTCAATTTTGCCCATTGCACGTTTATGTGGCGAAGTTGTAAATAGGGTTGGCGAAATAGCAATAACGCGTAATCAGATTCGACCTTATTTTGTCATATTCGATTACCATATTCAGGTTATTTTGTTGGTGGAAAACTTTGCACAATAGTTACCACAGAATGACCTACAGGTTATTAGTGTTTGCAAATTGTATCTGCTGTACAACACATCGCCAAGGTACCATAACAGTTACGGACGAAATTGCAATATCTTGTGACGAAATGGCATGCATATCAAGTTTACCGACTCGGCAAAACTAATTGCGCACACGGCATGGGGTGAACAGGTAAAATTGATCGTTAGTGGAGCACAGATAAAGCGGGACAGGTGGACAATAAAATCATGGAATACCCCTATGGTGATATGTGAGTTTATAATAGAAAGCATACAGTCGACAATTCCCAGAAGTGTGAAAAATGCTTTCATATTGCAGTAAAGAACAGAAAGACAAATCATTAAAACTGTAATGAATAAGAATCGTGTAGGTTCGTATAACATGATATTGGGTAAAGACATGTGTTTATGTAATAGGACGAGCCGGGGCTCCGGGCAGTTCACGCACTTAACCTGTATTTAGTGGGTCCCCGAGTCCCGCATCGCCCTATGTTGTCAACCCAGGTTCGGTAGGTCATAACTTACGAAACATGTTGGCCAAAGAAGAGATGATCCAAATAAACTGTTACAAAGATTTATTAATACTAGAATGAATATTTACATATGATGGTTCCTTGCACTCGCACTTTCACACTACATTCTCGCACGAACTCGACCCTGAATCTAGGTCCTACATAGGCTTGAAAATCTCCTTAATTACTACCACCCGCCCTGTGCTAAGCTCTAGGACTACATACCCAGAGTATTTTGTGGCACACCTCCGGAAACAAATCCGTTCGACTGCCCGATATTTCATATGAACCAACTATATTTATACCCTAGCCTGCACACCCGAAGTACACGCGCTCGTGCAAAACTAGCTGTCGCATGTTATCGACTATCCAGTCGATACACCGCACGACAGGGTCAACTCCAGTCACCCAGAAATGACCTGACAACGTCACGGTTCACCTACACTTTCTAGCTAATACTACAGGGGCCTGTAACTAGAAGCCCCCTTAAGATTTAAGATTACCTTAACATTACCTTTGTGTGCTAAGGTGTAACTAGAAGGAACCTTGTGTATACCGTTAAGGGTATAACAGTAAAAAGATACGAATAACTGTACTTCTCCCCTTATCGTTGACGTAAACAAATCTTACGATAGTCTGAACTAAGTGGGTAACTCGATGTCCTCGTAAGTCTAAAGAGTATACAACGATCATCTTAAGCATTTTTAAGGGGCGGTTTTCTCTAACTAGAAGCACACTTTAGCACTCGTCAGTACCCTTAATCTAAGATAACAACTAGGCTACCTTAGGAGTAAATAACATGGCGATTTTACTGCTTCTTAATGGCATTCAGGACGTTCCAAGACGTTTGTTTCGAGACAGAAGAAATCCCTTGGATTATCTGAGTGATGATGCAGTTATTGCAGACTACCGCTTAGACAGACGAACAATTTATGAGATGTGTGATACTTTTGAAGAGGAACTCGAAAGGCCTACACGAAGAAGCATGTCTTTTCCAGTGTCACTTCAAATCATGGTTGCTTTGAGATATTTCGCCAGTGGCAGTTACACGTCTGTCATTGGTGAAGCGCA